AAGAAGATGTAGTAAGATATTTATATATACGTATATGAAAATTGTGATTTATAGATATTACAAAAATAATATTTTTTATTAACACTTAAACATCTGGTCAATAAATGTATATTTTAAATATTAAAAGAAATAAAACTATTAAAAAAAGAAACAAAGAAACTATTTTCTATATTTATATAAAATGTGGCTATACAGTTGTTATGTCTATACAAGTTTTATTAAAAATATTAATAAATTCATGAAATCTGTGATATATATTATAGTTTCTTGGAGTATATATTTAATTACCAGACGTTCAATTGTTAATTCTATAGATTAATTTTAAATTATTTTTTAATCGCGACCCATACCCGACTCCTTATTTCTTTATTCAATTAATTTTTACGTACAAACTGTTTACTTAGAAAAACTTTATTTTATTATTGCTGGAAATGTGTGTGTAAAGAAAGATAGTGTACCTGGGATTATTGTATCCAGTCTTATCTGTGTGTATATGTGTATGTGTCTATATGATAATGTATGTTTGTGTGCTTATTTTATTACGTGTATGCTTTTTAATCATACTTTGTGTATTTATACTAAAAGTATTTAAAGTCTTTCCTATGTAATATCGTTTGTCAGTTCAATTAAAAGTAAATTTAATTTTGTTTTTATGGAGTCGGTCGCCGCATTAAAATCATCCGTCAAAAATAATTTCTTATACGATTGATTGAATTCTTTAAAGAATAAGCATTAATCTTACTATAATAATAAAGTAATGTAAAACAACATGTCCAAAAGTTAAATTCTACGTTTTTCGTATAATAGTTAATTTTGACGGATCGTTTGACGAAGCTATCCGTTGATCTCGTTGTGTCATAATTCCGATGTTACTCCTTCGTTATTTTGTGTTGGTTGGTGATCAATCAAATGAATATCATAAGAGTAGTTATATCAATTATCCCAATAATCACATTTTAATGTATTCAATTCTAGGCATTATCAATTTCATGAAGTATAAATTGACTCGTGAAAATTACAATCTTTGCAGAAATTCTATGGAAAAATAAAATCGAATTACATATTTTTATTGTAACATATAGTTTTCTATAAAATAAGATATAACTCTTCGTTTGATTTTTTCAATCTTAGTTTCATTGCACGTTTGTCTTTTTTTTTTTTTCTATGACATTCGAGAGAAATCGAAGTAATTACTAAAATTGCAAACGATCAATAAGATCGACGAAATCTTATAACCTCTCTCTCTCTCTTTCTCTATACACGGTTTTTCAAAAAACAAAAATAAATTAAAATAGAATAAAATAGAATAAAGTAAGAATTAGGATCATATAAGGTAATACTTCGAAAAAAAAAAAAAATGCAGAATTCTTTGTCCAAAGGATATCGTCGAGTTTACGATAAAATAAAGGAAACGCGACGTTTTAATGTCAAAGAAAAATTATTTAAAGTACGTTGACAGAGATTATATTGTCTATGAAATATCGTGTAAAATTTATAATATAATATGAACTATATATGATTTGATATATTTTAGAATATAACAGACGTCAAGATGATTTTAAATGGTTTATCTCCTGTTACAAGCATTGGTGGTAAAGAAATTGTCAAATTTCCGTACGAATTAACGTCAAAGATCATTCATTTCCCGTATTTACGTTATTGGCGAAAATATTGGCTCGTTAAGTGCACCACGATTACAATGTTTCTATTTATGCCTGCATTTTATAATTTTTACAAGTCTACAAAATCTAAGAATACAAAATGTCAATATAAAAATAATATTAATAATAATAGTAATCTAAAGGAGATATGCGAGCCAAGAAAAGAAATCGAAGCAAAGTCGAAAGTTTAAAATAACGAACTATGTACCTTACCACCTAATAATAATATCAAATAGAAGCAAACAAAAAGAAGATATGATAAATTATCGATAGAAATAATCGATATGAAACATTAACGTATACATTCAATGACATTTTTGTATACTTTCTAAACTATTAACTTTCGAAAGCATGAAGATAACGATTCGTAGACTAATGGTGGAATTTGTAAACACGATAAATAAGATATTAGAGTGAAGGTTAATACTATGAATTAGACAATACAATATTGTAACTGTCATTTTCTAAATCATAGAAAATGAAGTTTTTGATAAGAATAGAAATTTTTCATTTTTTTCATGAAATATTTTGTACAAAATTATCGTAACGATTAAACGTAGAGAAAAGGTATAAAAAGGAAAGAAACATATCGATTTATAAATAAAAAAAAGTAAAGAATAAAGTATATTAATTCTCATTACTTACCGGTAAACCTTCATACACATTTTTATCTAATTCTTTAGTCTGACCATTGTACCTCATTAACATCCAGACAGGATCTCTAATATTTGCGCCAAGATTTAATATGTCCCGATTATCGTATATTATTTTAATCGGTTGATTTAAATTCTGTAAATTCGATTGAAATTACTGTAGCAAAAATTAATGACAATAATAGGGTATTTAGTTTTGAAACAAAAATTTCAACTATCTTGGATCAATATAAATGTGATATAATTTTAAATTTACTTGTTGTACTTTCTTCTCCACTTTTATAATATTCGATTCATCTTCTGAATTAATTGGACTTGACGACCTTGAAGAAGATGGTGTAGTTTGATCTGATTCAACATTTTCACTAGATTCTATAGAAGGTGTTAGACTGCTAAAACCACTTGATGATTCACTATCAGTAGACGGTGAATAAGGTCCAATACCGTTAATTGCTCTCAAACCGTTATTGTACATAGCTTGTGCACCTAATGCATAGAAATGTTCTGTTTCGACGCCTGATAATGGCAATGCTAAGCTTAATGCCATTTTGTCTTTTTAATGTAATTATTTTTTTCGTTATTCTTTCCTAAAAAATGATTGAAATTTTTAATTAGTACGTATCAGCCATATATTTTTATTGTTTATTATACATTATTAATTTTCCCAAATCAAAATTTAGTTTGATCGTATTTCGTATCGAAATAGTTCCTAACAAGTACGAGTATTTCGATGAAATGTTAATTATTCGTTCGTTAAATTTGAATTAATTCGTTTTTAATACTTCGTATTATAGGATGAAATGGAAATAATATATATATATATATATATTAAAACTTACAATTAATATTCTTCTTCCTTTGACTCGTCACACTGTTGTCATAGTATCACCAACTTTCCTGAGGGTCCTTACTGTTACAATATCAACCAACAACTGAACGACAGTAGAAGTTTCTTCTTAAATAAGACAGTTCCTAATTTAATCGTTAGTCATTCCTAATGGCACTTAGTATTTCGACAAATACAGATAAACATAATCTCATTAAGCGATGGGACATCAAGATTACAAGTCCAAAAGCCAACTTTCTTTACCATAGGATTTGTTAGAAGTATTATTATTGTTTAGAATTCTAAATAGACATAATATTATTCTGTAGAAGAAGAGAAAAAATAGAAGAAACAAAAAAAAAAAAAAATAACAGATGTAAAAATTATAACGGCAATACTCGATCGGATTTCAAAATATTCTTTTCTAACTTTTTGTTCACACACGTACCTGTAACTTTTGTATTATTTATTAAGTAATATTCGAGTAAATGGTCCAAAATATTCGTATTATTGTTGAATAAGAATATTATATAACTTTATTGTATATTACGTATTATTAATCATGCAATAAAGTTATATATCATCATTTTATATATTATTTTTTAAGATTGATAATGTTAATGCATGAAATTAACGGAATTTGTCAATGTTTTTATCATGAAAATACTTTGTGTTTTTTATTTTAAAATATATTCTATTTATTTGTTTATTCTAGCACGAGCTTACTCGACATTACCGACTGTCGATGCACTTATAAATCGACAGTACAGCGATCTGTTATATCGACTGCTGCCATATAGTTTCTGGATAGAATAACACACATTATAATTTTTATTGTAAAATGTTTCCTTTCATTTTGCATGGAATATTTGAACGATATCCAATAGTTTTACGGCAAAATTTTATCTAATCACTTTTACTATTTCGTGTAACACGTTCTCGTTAATTTCAGTTGTTGGTAACTGCAGATTCCTACATAATCTATAGTAAGAAATTTTTCCATCTGCTTTTACTTCGTCGGTAAAAAAGAATCTTACATATCGACCAGTTTGGTCTTGTTTCTGGTTTTGCCCGTTAGACGATCATTGACTTGCTTGTTCAACAACGGTACAAATATTTTTACGATATGTTTAAATAATTATTAATTAACATATTTCAGTTTTCTGCAGTTATTTGAATAACACAAACTATTGTGTCGAATACTGGTTTGGGTTGTCGACGAGTCGATGAGAATAACATACGTACAATTTTTTCAAGGATTTTTTCATGAAAAAGTTACTTTTTAAATAAAAACAATATAAAACTAGCCACACACGTACAGAATTAGAAACTATATTGGAAGAATATTCATTTGTGAATGTACACGAATAACTTATATAATTTTTATGATAGTTACAAATTTGTATTAAGTCAAAATTTAATTCAGTTTCTAGGTACAAAAGATTTATAAAGAATTACAACTTTACGAGGGTATATTAAAGAAAAATCATAATTATAAATCACATCGATTAGTTCAAATATCACAATTGTTTAATGTTTAAATAATAGCAATTCAGATATTATATATTGTTCGTACTATTTCTGATATACAATTACAATATTTCAACACAACTAACTTTGGCAAGTTGTTCATATATTTCGTCGTATGTATGTGGAATATATGTATGGTATCGCATATAAAAGACAACGATGGTGTCTCTCCTTCATCGATATGATACATAAAGCATGGTCGCGTATACCGGGTGTCTGATTCGCGATGGTGACATCGTGCGAGCGAGGTACACGGTGGCCCTGGCAACGCACATGCGCCCTTCTTCGACTCTCTCGCCTCTCCTATTCCTCTCTCCGGATGGTTGAGGATTGGCTCGGAGTAACACCCCCTCATAATGGGTTCACCCGTCTGAACGGAGCTCGTGGGAGAAGAGGATAGACATATATACATATATAATATGTATATATATATGTAATAACGTATACATATGTATATATATATGTACATACATGTGGGTGTGAGTGTGGGGTGTCTATGGATATCAGTACATACTTATTACATAGAGTAAGAGAGTAAGAGAGTACGTTGAAAGAAGAGAAGGCTGTGGTTTCAGTTTAGAGTGAAAGAGAAAGAGAAAAAGAAAGAGGGAGAAAGAAAGAAATAAAGAGGGAGAAAGAGAGTGAGAGAGAGAAAGAGAGAGAAAAACAGGGAGAGAGAGAAGTAAAAAGAGGGTCAGAGCAGAGCTAAAAGAGAGATAGAGAGTGAGAGCGGTGAGAAGCGTAGGGGGTGGGGGTGAGAGAGGGATGAAGGCAACGGAAGCCATATTGATTTCCCTATGTTTCCCCGTGTTGTTACTATAGTGCCCGGTGAGGGCGCGAGGAGACGGCAGGCTCCCTCCGTCATCACCCTCTGCCACCCTCTGCCACCCTCCCTGATATCGCCATCCTCCGCGAGCTCATACTTTCTCTCTTTCTCTCTTTCTCTCTTTACCTAACAGGCGCACGCCGAGATACTCCGTTCTCTCCTCTCTTCCGGCTCATTCGCAAACTTTCCTATCCATTTTTTTCCCTTCATCTTTTTCCTCCTCCTCCTCCACCCCTTCCTTCTTTTCCCTTACCTTCCATTCCGTACCCCGTCATCGATACGCGACCGTAGACTATTATTTTCAAGCATTTTCCGCAAGGTAAAACTGCAACTCCTACGAACCTAATATTTCTTCTCTATCCTATCGCGAATTCGATCTAATTGTTCGATTAACTTTTAATTGAAAAACAAACAAAAATAAAGAACTCGGATAAAAATCTACGATTTGATCGCATTTGCGTATGTTTCTGTCTTTTTTTTTTTTTTTTTTATTAACCACAGATACGAGAATATATTTGATACGAATTATTCAGAGATTAGGCAAAATGAAATATTACATCTGTAAATTGTTTGTAACACGAAGAAAGATAGTTTGTACATAGTCGGAGTGTTTAGTTTTGGTGAAAAATGCCAGGTAGTAGGATCAGGAACACCTGGGTGGTCCGTGCACGATATCAGCTGCGTCTTTTCCCAGAAAAAAGAGGGAGAAAGAAGAAAGACAGAGATAGACGTTTCACTTTTGCTCCTTCTTCTTTTAGTAGTCCTTTTCTTTATTTCTTTCCTTTTTTTTCTTCCTTCCTTCCTTCCTTCCTTCCTTCCTACGTACTCTGTTCTCCTAGGAAGAGAAGTGGGAGGAGGGATAGTGAACCATGTGGTTGTTACCTAGTGATGCATGGCTCGGTAATAGCTACAATACAAGCAGCTTACAAGAGGGGTTCCACTTCCATTCCGCTCTCGCCGACTTGAGATTTATTGCCACGGGGCGGATTGCGGATTCCCAGATTCCCCGGTTTGCCCTTATAAATGACTCCTATTAATTGACCATGATGCCAGAGAAGGAAAAGACAATAAGAGAAACGGAACAATGCTGTTATTGTTATCGTCTTCTATTTTTTTTTGGATTTGTTTTTTTTTAGTGAACGGTGCGAGGCCGGTGCCTGAGGCCGGGGACGGGTTTTCATTCTTAAATTGTTTCTTCATTCAAATTGATTTCGATTCAATTTGACGAATTATTTTGATCAGGTTTTATAAACGTGTACTTTTATTTAATAATTGTAACAATAACGTTTTATAGTATTTGAATTGAGTATCACGTAATAGAATTGAGTGACGGAAAAGAAAAGGAAAGGGAAAGGGAAAGGAAAGGGATGAAGAATATTTGATATCTTGTCTTCTTTTTGGCTCGTGCAGAAGGCACGTGTCGAGCACGCGCGAGAAACGCAACTAGACACGCCCACCTTCTCTTGCGCGTGTATTCAAAGCCCCATAGCGGAACGAAGAACCCCATAAACGCGATCTCGGCGTCATTAAACGAGTGCTAATGCACTTAATAGCGAGCTCTCGTGCGTGCCTGCGTGAGAAAGAGAAAGAGTGGGTGGGAACGATGTGTCAAAACACGGCTGATTAGATCGACGTGACGTTGAAATAAATCATTCTAGTAAATCCCGATTTTATTTAAACGCGATCAACGTTTATTATTTCAAATCCTGTCTGTTTTATATTTTTTTTTATGTTTTTTTATTGAATATGAATAATTGTTCGAGGGTGGGGGGGGGGAGATCGATTGAAGTATGCTGTAGTTCATTCAAATAAAATCAAATGATGGATAATTTATTGCATACGAAGTAATGGCAGTGAGGAAATTATTATTGTGAACAAATATATATTCAATACTTTTCTAGATGATATATTTTTTATTCAATAATAATCAAAACGATAGTAGGTAGCTTGTTGTACATCGTTTTATGATGAAGTAACGATGAAAAAACACATATATGAAGTCATTTAATCGAATATTTTTATACGGGTACTTGAAAATAACGTAAAATAAGATTTATTCGACACAATGTTTGTTAGTAACGAGAACTTTGGAATCTAAATTAACCACGTATACGTTTCCATTTTCCACTTAACTCAGGAAATGACGTCGGTCCATCCTGAAAGGCGTTTCGTTTCGTGAAATTTATGTAAAATAATGCACACTGTTGCTCGCGATCCAACATATGTGGAGCAACGGTAGCATGGATGGGGTTTAGTAGCCTCGGGAGCTCAACGAAGCGTAATAACGTAAGATTGAAGGTCGCAGGTAACGGGCTATCCTCTTTCTCTCTCTCTCTCTCTCTCTTAAGCGTATCCTCATAACATGTAAAACACCAGAGTTTCTGGATAATAACCGGGCAGCAACTGTGTTTGTAAACTCGAAAAGCATCCCTTCTTCGTGCGGGTAATCGTTGTATATCGTTGAGAGACTCGAGAATGGGTTTAGATGGTCCGACAGTAACGGACAGGATCGGATCTAGAGACATCACCCAAGGATTTCATGAATTTATCAACCGTAACTTACCCTTTTACGTATCCCATGTAAATTTTCGGACCATAGGATAACAAGGTTTTATTTGAAAAAAAAAAAAAAAAATAAAAAAGAAAACATTATTAGTAACTTGTTCAATGATTATTATAACGAAAGTTAATATTAATTATTGTAATATAATGTAAGATTATTTATATATATATATATATATATATATATAAAACGACGAATCGAAAGTTTCGTTTAGTTGAGACGAAGAACGTGAAAATACAGAGGTCAGATATTTATCCTATATACTGTGTGTATTATTATTATTATTACTATTATTATTAAAAGACACGCGAAAATTTCTTCTTGGAAACTTTGTTCCTCGTTTTATGGTCGATC